CACAGAATATCAAAATTATTATCTTTGGCAAAAATTTCAAGCTACAAGCTTTTGCCATTAAGACCCTGTATATTATAGTGTAAAATTTTAATTGTCTTTGATACGTCATCGTCGTCCGGATTAACAAACTTAACACTAATGTCATTATCATATACGCCATAAGCTAGTTTACTGTTACAATTGGATTTAGATAGCAAAAATTCTGATCAGAACAATCGATATTAATTAAATTAGGATGCAGATTTCGAGAAGCGCTGGATATATTTAAGATAAGTTTACCTAGGTACATATACAATTTATTTTTACCACGGCCATTCATATGTAGTCCATGTTTAGTTTTATCTCGTGGTCCTAAAAGTGAATTTGTCTCCAAAAAATGACAACGGCTTCTTATATTAACATTTACACTGAGGAATTGATATATATCTCGATTAATTTTGGAAATATAATTGTCAAGTTGAGGTTTCTGGTTCCAGAATGGAACAGACATGAAAATAACATTAGTTATACTACTGATAGATCTAACTTTTTTTTAGTACATCACTTGTAATCTTACAATTACTCAACGCGTTATTGCAACCTCCAAATAAGATCACAAAATCAGATTTAGTAAAATTAGCACATAATAATTCAATATCCTTAACAACTTCGTCAAGATAGGCATTCGGTTTACATATAGTAAGAATCTCAAACGTGCCAGGAAGATAATTACGTATATAATCACTACCACTACGCGCGTGGCTGTCGCCCATTATTAACACCTTCGTCTTAGGGGTAAGACCCACAGGATTCGGTCCCTCCGCATGTACAACAGGAACAGAAGTTGCAGCCGAAGGAGGCAGTTCCAATGGTTTCTCATTGTCAGTTTCCGGTGCCAATGATTTCTTATTTAGCACGTCTGTCACCAAATCGGATTTTTTAAGGCACTTTTTGATCGCGACTTTAATGACTTAGTCAATCTAATCTTTAAATATCCAATATCTTTCTCCAACTGGTCGATTTTATTAAGTAATTGTAAAGTTGATTGACTCTTTCGTACTTTTTTTAATTTTACTTGTTTATGTTTTTTAGGTTTAGATTCGATAATAGTCTCGACGCTAGTACAACTGTTAAAAGAACCGTCAAGATCATCGTCGGAAACAGGAATTACAGTTTTATCTATATTATTTAAAATACTCTTAAGTTTACTAATCAATTCATGTTTGTTACCAGAAGAGTCAGCACCCAAATTATGAAGAATGTTTTTAAGTTGAATACTTACAACTGTAGAAATTGTTACTCTTTGAACTCTTTTTCTAGAGAAGCTGGGATTGCTTAAAAAGCCACGAGGCCACTAAGTCTTTAAGATGCTTTCGCAGTGTAGCAGGAGTAGCCCAAGATAGCAAGCTACAAAAAAAAAGAAAAGTTACAAAAGAAGCTATTCTTTGCGATACTTTCCAACTTTGATGAACTCTACAACTTGTCTATAGTTCCTCTGTAACACAGAATTTCTAGACAGTTCATTAACACAATCTGTACCGGAGAATACATACAAATTAATAACACTGTGAAACATTTTATTATTCACATGGTACTCTATTGATCATAATGTTGAGATGTATAAAAGATCCGAAACAATAATTTATGAGCTATTTATTGAGCTTGATAAAGGGGAAGAGTGATGTTTAAAGTTACAAGCAAATATTCTTTTTTTCATTTCCGCTACCACGGTTTTCAAAAAAAAAAAATAAATAAAGCTCTCTCGGTTCTAGTTTTAGTTAATTTGATAGCGTGCTCTTTTAACTTCGGACAAAAGGGCTTCGAATTGCTCGAGGCGGCCTCGAAAAACCGGAAACAGACAGCGTGGAGAAGACTTCTGCAGTCGACTTCAAACGAGGGGTAGTTATCCCACGGACCTCTCGATAATTTTATAAGATCTCCGCCGACGCGATGTCGTGTTTTAATTAATTTCGTACACAATTAACGGGGGGGTGAAGTAAAACGAGGATGCTTTTGCACTTGATGCTACGCCGCGGAAAAGGGGGCAAAAGGATGCTGGGGATGCAGCGAGACGTTTTCTCTGAGTTGGGGAGTCGAAAAGGTAGTTTTTTGCTCGGTTTAATCCTACAAAAAACGACCGCTTGATAGCATCTTAAAAAGTGTTAGAAACGCGGAAAGAAAAATCATGGAAAAAATCCAAAAAAAGAATTTGAAGAAGAATCCGGTGCAATATCCTCACGTACTTTTACGTTGAAATATCTCCATAAAAATGAAATCCTCCACATGGCGCACCCCCTTTTCCTAGTTATAAGTTATCGGCAGACACCGAAAGGTGGCGCTACGTGAACGCCGTAATATGATTTAGATGTAAGATGTACCGGGTGTCGGCCCGAGGCGTGACCGGAAGTTCCGACTGCATAATACGCTTATATAAAATTTAGGGGTGCGCCACATGGCCGCGATAGAAAAAGATGGTATCCCTCCAAAATTTGCCGCCACCTATCCACATCTTCCCGGTTAATGTCCAGACGCGAAAGGGGGGAAAAACGTCGAGGTTCGAAACTGATCGCCCCCACTTAATCTCAAAACCTTCGCACCCCCGCATTGGCATTAGGTCGGGATAGAGGACGTTATGAACTGCGAAACGTAGCAGATGCCATTGACTGTTCACCAGGACGAGTCCTGAATTTTGAACGGTTCAGTGCGTTCGAAAACCCTACCGGGGGTTCTTCGTAATCCACGGTACAAGAACTTCCCCCTACCTTTCATTATTCCAATTATTCATATTCTTGTTCGGTGCATTATGAATCTTGGTTAAATTTGACTTCGTAATAAATTTAAAACATCGTCTCTTCCTCAACAAACCGAGTTAATAATCGTTATATCTACATATGATTATGATCAAAATCTGGATATTTTTAGTTTTATTAGAAACCGTTTCGTATAACTAACTTTAAAGCAAAGAGGGTTGAAATTAGAAAGTGATCTGGAACTTTAAGGGTCGTAAGTAGGGTCGGTGGCCCCACGGGACGTAATTCACCCCCTTAGGTCGACGGGCAGCGGGTGCAAGAAGGCGCGCGAGCCGTGACGGTCCCGCTTCGTTTGAAGTTTTCCAAATTCGCCCTCGACGAAGTTCACCCCCTCAACCGGAGTCGTGCACATCTGCCGTTTTGTCGCCGCGCTCACAATGGGGCCAAACACAGTCGGCGAAGTTTAATTTCGGAATAAAAAGCATCCAGACTTTGCACGTTTAAAAATCGCCGAAAGAAAGACGGAAAAGTTAAGAAACTTATGTATGAGAGAGAGAGTGTGATAAAGAGTGAAGGAAGGGGTGAATTTTCCGCCCCGCGAAAGTATATTGGAACAATAAAGATCATCTTAACGGCCCCTCGGGCTCCGTTAGCCCCCAAATGACTGAGGTAAATAGCGGTAATCTATCAGGCGTTCGACGTTAGACCGCAATCTTCGAAGAAAGGGGAGGGCGGTGGTGGTGATGGTGGCGGTGGTTTGCTTTTATTTTACGCTCACGTTCCGTAGACGTGGGGGCTTTTCGAGTTTCTGCAGACGACCAATTTCGCGTAGAGATTGTCGCCTCGTCGTTTATGTGGCTCCCTACCGTTTCTAAACTTTTCCAAGTCCTAAGTAATCAAACCTCCAATCATCAACGTGTAGTGTACGCTTTCTTCAACGTGTACTTAAACCAACCTTTCAACAACAGAAATTGGAGAAAACCAAACAGTTTTATCATAATCTGTCTATTTCATATTTATTGAGTCTTAGTTATTATTATTTTATTCGATTAAAAAAATTTCCGGCTCCTCCGCCATTTTTAAATCTTTGAAAATGAATTAAACCAAGAAAATTTATAAATTCGAAGTCATCAAAAAACTATTAACAACTTCCATCCCAAACACATCGTAAACTGTCTTTCATCGAAACCGGAAGTTAACGAACTCAAAATTAGTTTCCTTTGTACACAGTAGGCAGACCACCAGAGAAATATTCTAGAACTAATCGCAGTTTGTCGACAAGTTGCTGCAAGCGGTCCGATGGGGTCGCTTTCAAAGCTCTTTTTGGTAAAAGCTCTTTTCAGCTTCCCGCGGCGATTACCATCAGCTTCTCGTCAAATTCACCGTCTGTCGAATTTTGGGATAACTCGCCTTTTTTTGTCACCGCTAAACCTAGAGCAATGCGACCACGTGGTCATCAGTTTTATATCAAAAAGCGCATGCGCGTCGTCTCTTTCTCGTCCGGAGCTTTCGACTTTAGGGTTGAAAAGCGAGGGCTTCAGATGCTGAACTCGCGCGGATCGCGGTGCAGCTTTACGCTGCTGGTGATGGTCCTTTTCGTTATTCGAACGAAACTATGTTGAACGGCGGAAGTGTTGCAGTTGTGGTGGTGACGATTTTTTTCAATTTTATGATTATTTCAACAGAGACAGTTCTAGGTGAGAATGTAAAAAGATTTATTTATAAACCATTCGAAATTGAGATTAAAAATGTATAGAAATTTTTTTTCAAATTTTTGACGTGGTGTTTGGATAATTGATTACACAAGCAATAAAATAACAACACGATGCATTAGTAACTAGGAAAAAAATCGTTTGTCGTTCTTTATTTTGATTTTTAATGAAAGCTATGAATATTAAAGAGTTTTCTCTTGAAATTTTTAGTATAATGCTAAATGGGAACTTTTTCATGTGATATTTTTTAATTAGAAATATTTTTTAAAACAGTTTTTTTTTAACAAAGTTGTCGCCAAAGCGCATCTATTTTGATAACTTTTAAAAGAGTTCACCTCATTACTCTTAAAAACGTTAAATATTAATTTTAATTACACTAACTAGAGCACACGGGTGTGAATCTTTCAATTTAAACATCACATAAAATTTGCAGTGGTTGATAAATTGTGGGGTTTAGTTATTTTATGGCGACTTTATAACATAATTCTTAATTAATATACATTCTCTTGAAGAGTTTGTGAAAGTTTTATAAGTTCTCCACAATGTCTTTCAGATTGACTTTAAAAAATTATACACATTTTCTGAAAGAATATATTTTAAGCTTTAATTTAATATGAGAATCACTTCGTAAACTTTAAAAAAATGTTTTAGTCTCAAATAGCATTCTTTAGCTTTCATTTGATATAAACTTCACTTCTGTATCTTGAAAAATAAAGCTTAGACGATTTTTTGAAGTTAATCAATTTTTCTAATAATTGTAAGTATTATTTCGATACAGACTTTCAGTCATTTTTAGCTCCATTTTAAAAGATACGTTACAAATAACTTATATTATCTTAAAGAGAATATTTTAACCTTTAATTTAATATGAGAATCATTTCTGAATCTTGAAAAGTAAAGCTTGGGTGAATTTTTAAAATACATCGATTTTCTAAATAATTGTAAGTTTCATTCCAAAGTAGATTTTCAGTGTTTCTCAGGTCAATTTGAAAACTTACGTTTTGAACAGTATGTATTAACTTAAAAAGCACACTTTAAGCTGTAATTCAATATAAAATTCACTCCTGTATCTTAAAAAATAAAGCTTAGACGATTTTTTGAAATGAATCGATTTTTCTAATAATTGTAAGTATTATTTCGAAGCAAATTTTTAGTAATTTTCTAGCTTTATTTTAAAAGGTACGTTACAAATAAGTTGTATTCACTTAAAGAGCACACTTTAAGCTGTAATTCAATATAAAAATCATTTCTATATATTGCAAAATAAAGCTCTGGCGATTTTTTAGGTAAGTACATCGATTTTTGTAATGATTGCAAGTTTGCAGCTTTTCAGGCCCATTTTAAAACTTTCATTTTAAATAGTATATATTATCTAAAAGAGAACTTTGCAACATTTCGTTTTATGATGTATTTTATAATCTATCTTCTATTATTTATTATTGTTGAAAAATTAATTTTGAAAATTAACTCCACAGATTTATGAAATGTTTTCGAGATGTATGGTTTAAAAAGGCGAAAAGCAGTTTATTAACAAGTGTTTAAAATTAAATTTTCTACCACATATTGAGGCGACGGCTTGTGGGGGCCATTAAAGGCCGCTTTGGGGTGTATTTTGGTTAATCCCGCGTAAACTCCGTTGATTTATAAGGGGATATTAACCCCCGCGAACGCCTGCTGTGCATGAAATACTTAGCTGCGAGTATCGCGTGAAGGTGAAAACTTGCAAACTAAATTATTTATTGTAATGTTGCTTGTAGGAACCCAAAAACATTTTTTTATTAAACTAAGGACTAACTTTGGATTGGAATTTTTTTGATTACTTTTTAGACACCCTCATTTTTTTTCATAATTTGAAGGTTTTATTTTTCGGGAAGGTTTGGTACAAATTGAATTCTGTACCTCGCGACTGTAACATCGCCACGCAAACATACCCCACTTAATTTATGCCCTCCCATCGACGTCATCCCCCGAAAACCAAACCTAACCCCCTTTTGAAAATACCCTCAAACACTCTGAAATATGCACCGAGTTCAATGGACTGTTTCGAAACGTTGATTTTTAACCCCTCGGGTTGCTAATCGAGTCCAATTTGGTTCCTGGTATTTGCGCTCCTACAAAAGTTGCGATCGATTTGTTAATCTGACCGAGTTCCAATAAAAATTCTCGTTTTGAAAATATATTTTACGTTACGATCAAAAAATTTAGTGGTTGAACTTGAGTACTTTTGTGGAATTTAAATCGTTTCAAGGTAATTTTTCAATTTCCCGCGGCGATTCCATTGGTATTAGGCCGCCTCATTTGCCGCGGGGGTGTCGTAACTGCCTCTTAAATCTTGCGGGCTAACCGGTTAAATCATTCGGGTAGCGCCATTTTGGCCATTTAAAAGCGGGCGGTGTTTTAATTCCGAACGAGCCGAGGTGTCGCTTTTACGCCATCGTCCATCTGTTAGATTAAAGCTCGGCGCCAAACCGCTTGCGAATCGCATGTTCTGCAGCAATTCAGACTTCTCCTGGATACTTGACGGCCGAGAGCTTTCTAACGACTTTATTAATGGCTCACCGACACCTAGTTTTCCCCAGGTTCAAATAAAAACAAATCGCACCAAAACAAACAACTATTTTTATTTTTTTTTTATTTTCATCAGCAATAATTCAAGTTTTGTTGATGTAGTTTGAATTTTTTTTAGCTCCAATTAAAAATCCCGTTAAAAAGTTCGTTTAATGATAGGATTCGTTGAAGATATATTTTCACGAAAGGATTGATTACACGCGGTTCTTGTTCGAACAGCTGTTGAAAGGAGCAACAACGACGAGGCAACTTCGTCGATCCATCGTGCAAACATTTGCCTTTGTACCGAGAGCATTGAAACAAGCTGTTCTGGTAAACAGCGAAGGCTTCGAGAAACGCTGCAGGCGGCGGCTTCGGCGTCGTCCTCAGCAACATTGTGTTTAGACGCCCGGCGTCCGCTCAAAAGTTTGAACACCCAATAATGACTTCAAGAAAGGAATATATATGTAAATGTCTCCTGGTTGGCGAGAACACCCCGCGAAAGAGAAGAACGTTTTAATCGGAAACGAGCCTGCGGCGCCTCCAAACAAATAATCCAAGAATAAGAAGAATCTTTGCCACCTGATGTGAAAATTACTCTCGCGTTGTTCTCCCGAATACTTCCAAGAAGGAGATATGTCTAAGTTAAATTTAAATTTTCAGTTTAGTTTAATTTTCTTTGAGTTTAATTGTACAATTTGTAGATGTCACAAAACTTGAAAACTTTAAATATAAACTGATGATGAAACTTTGTTGATTACGCAACTATTTCTTGGATCATTTATTACTATTTTTGTATCATATCGGAACTTAACTTCTAGGCAAGACTTATTACTTCAATTTCCGCCAAACAATGTATTAGATTTTCTCAACTAACGAATAGTTTTCTCTAAAATTGTCGTCAGATGAAATAAACACTTTCCTACTAGATATTTATATCATATCATATCAACATTATATAATATTTATTAGATAGTTTTCCTTAAAACAGCCGAGATGCTGTAATATGTATTGATAATTACAATAATTATATGATATTAATACGATATGATATTACAAACAGCCTGTTACAGCGGCAACTGTAACCGAGTTATCACATGGCGAGGAAGAAACCTGTACAAAGCCTTAGAAGCAGATAAATTAAGAAAGAGCGGTAAATAGCTTAGCATATGCATTAAAAAAGCTGCGTGAATATCAACTCTGGCAAATGGTCTATTTATTCCTGTTTTAATATCCGATGGTCGGGTTGTTTGCCAGACCCTTACCATTAATAGAGCTACCCGTTTGCTGAAAGAAGCCCTGCAAGGACACAAAAACGAAAACGTTGAAAACTTTCTTAGAAATCCTCTAATGATAAAGAAAGGAATTACTCAATATGGAAGCTAACATAGGAAATGTGATGGAGTTTCGAGAAGTAACGAGGAGAAAGCAAAGATCTTTGCGGAACATCTACGAAATGTTTTTCAATCCCACCCAGAATTACTTCAGCACAAGAATTGCCATTGTTTTCAAAAGTATTTGAAAAACTCTTATTGAAGACACTTTAGAACATCATAATATATAGAAAACTAATCACACAGTAGTCAGATCAGTCAGAGATGCATTGAAAGCCAAAAAATATTATACAGCTGCTTTAATAGATGTGTCACGGGTTTTCGACAAAGTTGAAATGACCTTACCCTGTATGTACGCTAGAGCAATCATATTTGACGAAGGAATATTTGTATGTAAGACAAAATGAATGGGTTTAGCTGATTACGCCGAGATTGCTTGCGGTTGAGGCTTTGCAATAAATATTACTCCTATATGATATTAACAAAATATGATATAATATTAAATGCAGCTATTGGGTAAGGTTGGTTTTATTTTGAAACGTCAATCATCTCCAGAAAGAATGTTATGTAAGGTTAGTTTTGTTTACAAATGTTAATCATCCCGAGAAAGAATGTTAGTTTTCTTTTAAAATCTCAATTATAGCGTGAAGAAACCTCAATTATAGCGTGAAGGAATGTCGGTTTTCTTTTGAACCTCAATTATAGCCAAAAGAAACCCTAATTTTAGCGTGAAGAAACTCTAATTATAGCGTGAATGAATGTTAGGATAGGCCAGTTTTCTTTTGAAATGTCAATTGATGTCAATTATATCATGAAGGAATATTAAGTAAGGTTAGTTTTGTTTACAAATGTCAATCATCTCGAGAAACGATTACCTGAAGCTATATCACCGATTTTTATGTTAATTAGGAACAAAATGACGCCTCTTGAAAATCAGTCTTGTAATTTAATCTAATTTTCGGGAGTCTCAAGACTTCACTGCTGAAAGTTTTAAAAAACTGAGGCTCTTTTCTATTTGGTTGTATTTTTTCTCAGCAGGATTCAAAGCGGGGTTTGCATAAGCAATAGTTTTCTTTCACTATTTAGAATGCTAGGATTGAAAAT